ATATAGGCATCTGAGTCATATGCTCTCCACCAGCCTTTGCTTGGTTAAACACCAGATGGATGAAACAGCTGTATAAATCTTTAATCTTTGTGACAGCTTTTCTTTCATTTATTTTTTGACTTATGTGGTTAGTTTCACTTGTGTGTTCTTCCAATTAGGGAGTTAACCAATCTCTGTCATTCAGATCTATTTAACACACTTGGTCTTTAGCTCAGGAAATTTTACTTTTACATTGATTTTTCAAGTTGCACATTAAATATTTAGCCTGCATTTGAAGTAATATTGATGTCGTTGATATTTCTGTTCATTATCTGTTAATCTATCAATGTTAGTGATATAATTAAAATCACACATTGTCATGACAGTTTGTAGTTACGGTCTCATTCTTTGGAACAGTACATTCTTTTAAGATAGTCCTGTACAGCAAAACTGTTAATTTTCTAATCAATTCCGCTTTTTTCACACTATTTTGGTTTGCAGTTGCACTATTTTTGTTATCTCACTGTTTTGACAAACCAATGTAAATCTATACTGAGAGACAGTGGAAGAACTATCTGTTGAAATGTACTGCTTTTGAAAGGGCTAAACTTAGCTTTTTTATAGATTACTGTCATTTATGGATATAAATTTTGAAACACATTTGAGCTCTTTCTAGAAGAATAAAATAATACTTTGTTACCATTATTAAAGGACATGATTGCAAGAGAGTATGCACTAAACACTGAGGAGAATTCCTAAACAGGTTTAAAGACACACCTAATGCATTTTGTCTCTGTGATCCAAAGATGGCAACATGATTAATTTTGTGCAAAGGCGGAGACTTTTTTAATGCATTTCAATATTGAAAAGACATAGGAAGAGGGTGCAAGCTCCTTTAACCATGCAGCTTAAATAGTCAATAGAAAAATTCCCTTGTAAGAATGAATTTTGGTTTTTTTTAAGGATAGAAGTATATTCAGTATATTGGTCTGGTTAGAGTAGAATGAAGACTAATTTGTTTGTTTCCCCCACCAAAGAAGGTTTTGTTTTGTCCAAGATTAGACTAACACTGTAATAATTTTTCTACTTAAGCAAAAGAGGAATGGGAGGCAAGTGGCATATATCCATGTTGAGTTAGGAAAGGCTGTTGTGGCACCATCATTCTGTAGAGTGCACCAGCAATGCTTTCGTTAATTTTACCACTCCATGTAGTAATGTAATTTCTGAGTTCCAAAAGGATTCCTTTCTGGGTCATCCAGGGCACAACATAAAAATCCTGACATTTTGCAATCAGAAAAGAAATTTGCATAGGGAACAGATTGGGAATAAACAGTGATCGGAAAATCAAAACTTTCATAACTGTTATGAAAAACATGCTTCTAGAATATAATAAATAAATCTAAAGCTCCAGGATACCACTAGAGATGCTGAGAGGACAATGTCACTCAACGAGGTATTTCATGACCCTGAAATTCTTTAATTCTACTGAGTCCTAAGAGATGCTTGAAATGATTTCATCCTTTACGTTTGCTCTTGTGTGTTGAAAGCCTGTGAAATAGGATAGGAGTTGGGAGCATCTATTCAACTAGCCCTCTTCTGCATGTGAATAACACTGTCGAAGGATGAAACTGAGTGCACTTGTAAGGACACACGAGGTTTCTCCCTTCACCTTGGCATTTCAAGGATATGATTTATAATAACCTCATCATTTCAAGGTTGGAAGTTGTCTGAATTCATGTTCCCTTCTTGATGGCTTTTCAGCCCTGTGTGCTTTTGTTATCATGTCTCATATTCACACTCATGGGAGTTTTTCTCAAAGGGAAAGGAATCAGAGTGACCACAATGTAAAGTAATTTTGTTCAGAGAAGAGACTCTTAGTGATTTCTTCTTTGCAAGGCGACCCAAAATACAGAGTGGTTCATAACGCTGTATAAAATATAATCTCACATTATCAATGCTTTGATGTGTTTGATGTGTTTGGACCATTTCTGAAGTATTTCTAAGCATATTGGCTATGAAATATGAATGCATTCTCAGTGTAAGGAAATAACCTTGAACTTCAACTATATTATTGGAAGCAAGGGTCTATTCTTCATTCCAAAGAGGTGTATAAGAGTGTTTAATGTAAAGAGCATTTCTCATTTCAGCTGTATGGAAACGTAAATTGCCTATACCTGTATAGAAACCCCCGCTTTGAACTTCCAGCTTGATATCAATACCTATTTTGCTTGCAGGGTGATGCCAGTTGCATGTTCCTTGTTTATTTTCCTCAACATCTGCATGCAAAAAATTCCTTCCTATCAATATTAGTTACCCATATGTAGCCAGAAGAGATTGGATCTCACCCCATTACAGAAACATTTTTCAAACTGTTATAGCTATGAGATGAAAACTCATTTATTTTATGGCCACAAACTCCAACAAGGAACAGGAACAATTTCCTCTTCATGGAAAGAATTTCTAAACCTCTGAGACAATGCAACACTATCTTTCCCAAGAAAGGTAGCTTAAAAATTCTTAAAGAACTTGACTTAAAAGAGGTTTAAGTCCCTTTTAAAATTGAAAATTCTGTTGATGGTGGATATCAACATGTCTGGTCTTCTGTTGCTGTGGAACTAAGAAGAAACTGAAATGTCTCTCTTTATTTGATTTCATTGGTGTAAGAAAGACATTGACATATAGGAACACACTTTCTGCATTAAGATTTCTAGAATTTTCCTTATATTTTATCTGTGTGGTTTGAACTGTGATTATTGCTGTCCTGTAATTCTAAAATACATAGCATGACAATTAAATATTTCATAAGATTTAGTTAATCCTCATTAAGCAAGACAGACTTCTGTATTTTACTCCACACAGAAAGATGCACTTGATATTCAGTAATATTTTCTCTGCATATTTTCTGCTTTTAAATCTTGAAACCACAATAAAGGATTCAACATTAAATATGTTATTAATAATCCCATTGTGATTATTTTTGGACAATATAAATTTTACAGCAATCATATATCATTCTCGATATTTTTACCCTAGAGGTTTGGGGGCCTTAATTTCAAGAAAACTAAAATCCAAAACTCTGATATGTCCAGACAGACAGGAGATTTAAATGCACATTTTTTAGGGTTACATTTTGCAAGAGTCAATCATGTTTATTATTATCTACAAGCCGGTGGCAGGTGTCCAGAAACTGCAATCTGTATTTTTTTTATTACGTGTGTCTGCATCTACATATATGCATTTTAATTTCTGCATACATACACACACATACAGTGCATGCACCTCAAGGCTTTTATGTGAAAACATTCATGACTCTGACTTGCTGATTGTTTTCAAACATAGTGCAAAAGATTCACACCAATATTTTGCCATAATTTCCTGAACACATGCATTTATGAAAGTGTTGCTGGTAGAGGTCTTGGAGCAAGCCTCTAAGCCACAGACATTTCCTTATGCCACAGCTGGAAGAATCGTTTCCATAGACATTCAGCATTAAAATAAAACAATTTTATTCAGAAGATGGAATAAAGCATCGGATTCCAAAGGAATTCCTTGGAGAGGCACTTCATATTTTAGTTTCAAGGAGGTAAGCTAGACAACAGAACATCTTATTTGATAATCTTGTGCATCTTCTGTGTGAATCTGAGAGCACTGCAGTTCAACAGTGGGACAGCAACTGTTTCATTTGCCATGAAATGTAAGGTGGATAATTCTATACCAGTGGGAAATAAAAGAAGAAAAGTTTCAGTGTTAGTTTGGTCCTGAGTTTTTGCTGTAATTGAGAACATGTTGAAATGAAACACCTCAGCAGTCCTTGGATAGCTTCAACACAGCCTCTTACCTGATTGTCTTCAACTGCCCATTACCAGAAAATATCACATGTCACATAAAAATCACATGTTTATACATTGAACTAAGCTTGTGTTTTGTTTGAAGGTCTGTCATCGTTTGCTTGCTCTGTTTCCCAGAGTTTCATGATCAACCGATTTAAGCCCTTTAAGATCCACTTCTTATGCTAAAGAATTTAATTCTCTAAATTTTTTGGTGCACATGTAAAGACAATAGTATCCACCTATGTGAAAGTATCTGCCTTATACCAAGGCAAAATCATCCTGCTCAAGGAATATGATATGACAAACATTACTGTTTACCTACAAAAGACACTGGTTTCCTATGAAATCAATAGTTAATACACTGAATTTCTTGATACATTATACAAATACATGTTATTACATGATAGGCTATCCCTATTTGTTGTTTATTTTCTCTTGTGTTACTTCACATTTGGTTCTATAACTATCCTAAAACATATAGCTTGCATCAACTTGATCAGTATTTTAAGAAAATGTATTTAAAGATAAAGGTTAATTTGTGAAGCAATGATTCAGCTAGCTAGAAGCACACACGTGGTATGAGTGCACAGAATTCACAGAAAAGTGGTGGCAAACACTACCTGAAGTCCTTTTGTAGTACAGCCAAATGGAAGGACTGCACATCATTGTGAGACCACTTCACAGAGACAGAATATGCATTTGAAAATAAACATGACTAGCCCATATATAGCAACAGCAATCTTATCCACACCCCCTTTCCTATAGTCCCACCACATTTCTGCAGAGTCTGTGTTTGCTCTAGTCAGTGATGGGCTTGTCCATGGTACAGTACACCAGCCTTACCTTTGACTGTGAAGGTCTCCCAGTAATGATAAGGAAATCAAGAGTAATTTTTCAAAAAGTAAAACATTTGAAACATCTTTTAAAGAATTCATATTCTTAGCTACAGTGGTCAGGCTCATCTTTCAAAAATATCTCCGTCTCAGTTACAGTTCCTCAGACCTGCTGAGTCACTGCAGATAAATCTCTTCAATAATCAGGGTTTCATGAAAAAAAGGTAATTATGTTAATTTGGTTTGAGAGGTATTTTGTGATCTTCTGAAGAAAGGTATTGTCTAATAAGCAGAGAGTTTATTATTCAGAAAGAATAATATCCTTTCCATCTAGCAAGATTCTTGAAAATTAAAGAAACTTTCAAGACCTGCCTTCTTACAAGTCAGCAACAGAAGTCTTTCTCATTTGCCTTGTTTCATCTTGCTTTTTTGAGCCTGTAAGTACCAAAACAAAAACAGGGTAGATCATGACATCCACAAGATGCTGACAGTCCATTCACATAGGACAAAGCTGATGAAGAAGGGAGACAAAAGGACTTCTGGAGAAGCAAAGTCAAAAGTCAAAGAGATCAAATAAAAACACACTGCTGCCCAATCCAGCTAAATAAATAACAGCAATACATATGACAGATGACACCAGCCTGGACAAAACAAAGAGTGACATTTTTTCACACCTTGTTTTTCCAAAACTCACTTCTCAGCCAAAGCAGATAACACTCCAACTGAGAAAAAAATGATTTGCCATGAGTCTTGACAATATGGAAAGGGATTTTACATGGAGAAATTCTTGGCAGAATCTCCTATTTCCGCTTAAAGAATATTACTTGGCTCTAGACTGAGATGATATGGGTGAGGGCAAGATAATGAAACAGTAGATGATAAAGAAGGAAAAGGAGAAACAACTTTTTTTTAATTTAAAGCAATTTTTGTATCATATATTTGCAATTGTACAAGTTGTCTGCTTTGTAAGTAACACATATACATTAAATAAACTTTTTATGTAAAGAAACTAACACTGATCCACACTTTATTAAAAGAGATCTTCTTGACTGTCCACTTCTAAAATGGAGGAAGTGTTAGTCTGTAAGGTCTTTAGGTCACAGGCTGGTCTCTCTGTCCTTGCTACTTAGGGAAAGCCACACAAAAGCCAAGCACTATTTACTGTGATAAGGTCTCTGAATGATAAAGAAGAAATTGTTCACTCAAAAAGAAGCAAACAGTACATACACAGGATTATTTTGTAACCATTATTTAGGCTTCAATTCAGCAAAGCACTTGAATATGTGCTTTAAATCCATTAATTGCTGTTAATTAGTTGAGACCCTCCTGTAATATTGAAAGCCTACCTTTAAAAATACACTATTCAAATTCTCCACAATGTAGAATGAATAAGACTTTTTCATGGGCTTCATTTTCTGTCTTCTCTGGCTTTTATTCTTTCATGCTGTGAATGAGGACTGTTGCAGCATGCTCGACGTAGAAAGAGTCCATAACCTGCACCTTTTAGCAGTCGCCTTCAGTTTTATTGTTGAATTTCTGGTTTTCAGTTCTGTGAAGTGCCTGTGCTGGGCTAAAATTAATTGTGACTGAAAAAGAATGGCATTTTCAAAGTTGTTATGACAATCTGCTTCCTTCATTGAGATGCATAAGGCCTAGATATTCCATTTTTTTCCAAGGCCACTTGTGTAACTCTTAGCAAATATATTGGCTATGTGGTGGATGACTCAATTGTCCTGGAATAAAATACTGCATTGACAAATCAACTGAGTGTCACGGAGTAGCAATATTCATTCTTTAAGCCGGCATTTCCTGCCAAATCCTCAATCAGAATTATTAGTTATAGTTAAAAGCAGTTCTATGGAGACTTAGTTACCATTCTCCATTTTCAACTTAGAAAGACTGAGTCAAGAGATTGATTTTATGTATTCCTGAGAACCTATCACTGATAGGTCAGATTAACATACTGGTCAAAAGTTTCTAGTTCTGAAAGAAGCACAGCCCTTTCAAAGACCAACTTTCCATTCAATTCACTTTTTCCCTTTATTCTTTGAAGGAAAGGAGCCCCAAGAAACTCCATTAGTGATTTTCCTTACTTCAGTTCAAGCATATGTGAACCAAAGCATTACATTTGAAGCATACACCATGAACAGAAAGAAATTTGCATTATTTCTCAGTGCTATCTATTAAAATACAAACTTGATTTCTATTAGTCACAGTTTTCTGAGGGGCACAGGCTTGTCCTTGTCCCCTTTTCCACCAGAACAGGCATGCTACAATAAGTTTATAAGTACTATGTTTCTTCTAAAGCTAGAACGCAAAGCAGTGCCTCAATAGCTCCTGTGAAAATATAAACCGACTGTTTGCATGGTGTTTAACTTCCTTTTCCTGTTTTAATTTTTCCTTTTTAATTTCTCCTCCTTTATCAAAGTCATTTTTTCCAGACAATAAAGTAGACGTGGGTAGATTTGGATTAAATGATGGCTAGATTTCGTGTTTTAAATAGCAGTCAGACCTGGATCCATTGTTAGAGCTGATAGGAAGAGGCAGAAGGATGGAGAGTTTCACTAGGCTGCAGCAGCAAAGCTAAAGAGATGCCAGGGACAACCAGGGAGAACAGAGAAGTGATTTTTGGATAGACTGAACAGGAATAGCCAGATAAGGACATAATGCGAGGAACGAGAATGAGGACTGAAGGACTGCTGAAACATGGAGAACTTGAAGTTGTTGGGTGACCAGGCAAGTCAAACAAAGACATGGAGATTTGGATAAGGCTTGGAAGGAGTCAAAGAGCGAGCTTTGGAGCAGTAGGGGTTGAGCTCTCCAGGATAATAGAGGGCTTAGAAGGGAAGGGATTTGGAATTGAATGAAGCATCTCTTGTCAGGACAAGCCTAAAATCAGAATGAAATAGAGGATAAGAAATCTCTAAGAGGCAACAATATGAAAAGTCTGTGTTTTCCTGCTAGCCAGTTTTATTAGGTCCCTAATATACAATGACAGCTGCTACCAAAGCCATAATATGTACAGACTACAGTTGTGTTTGGAGAGATACAGGCATAATCCTGACAGGTCTGAGATAAAAGGTTAAATGTTGGATGGACTGGTGAACAGGTGCAACCATGGAAATGTGGAATCCTCCTTTTGTCATTTAAAACCAAATGATAAAGCAGTGCCTACCTGGAATTGGATACAAAAAATCTTAATCACAGAAAAATTCAATTTTAAAAATTATTGTACTTCTCTGCTCTGCAAGTGGGATAGCATTGTCCAAGAGAGAAGTTGGCTGAGTTAGGCTAGATTCTAACCATGCTATGCACAGATCTTATCCAGGCTTGGAGTTCTTTGGGTCTTTTCCTGATGGTAACCTGATGACCATCAGTTGTCTGATTTGATAGACAAAATCAAATTCTCGGTTGTCTCTATGAAATTTGTGCAATGTACAAAAACTTGTGTCACCTTTCTTGGTGCTCACAATCTACTTGCCTCAAAGACAACACTACAAGGATTATGTTGCTTACTCTCTTCTCCTTAAAAGTAAGTTACTCCCTTATCCTGTTAACTAAAGTCCATATGTTAATATTATGTCAACAGGACCCAACCTGTGTGAACTTCTACACTTCCACTTTTTGTTTTGCTGACATGCCCATAAATATCCCTACTGATTAGTTTTGTGTGTTGCCGTTCCTGAAAATATATATATGCACATTGAAACACCCTCCAGATCTTAATATCTGAACTGACTGTTAATGCCGCTAATATGAGAATTTGTCCAAGTAAATTTACTCCTTAGAAATGTGCATTATTCACATAATTGCAATTATCTAGTTACTTGCAACCTCATTTATCTTTCTCAGTGCTGTTGAGCAGCAGAGTCAAGATTAGGTCTTTGGTGGAAGACAGTGCTTTCCATCTAGTGCCTTGCCCATAGGTTGTTATACACGTATTTTTGTACACCTGTCCTACTGCAAATCTCCTCACCACTCATTTTCCAGCAGTCTGTTGTGAGAGTCATGGCAGCAGAAGTGTTTGTGGGTGGATGGCATATGCTGGCACTACATGTAGCACATAGCAGTCCTCTAAGCACAGCAAAACAGATTTGGTATGTCATGATGTCTTTTTTTGACCTTGATGGCCCAGATGGGTTACCCAAATATTTCCATCTGCATTTTTTCCTTTGTTTAATTCATTTGCACACAGAATTGGCTGGCATGCAGGAGCTGATATGGACATACATTGTAGTCCTGGCAATCGGGGCAGTAACTAAAGTGGGTATTCTGTTCCTAGTATTTCAGTCGCTTTAGGGACTCCAGCACAGGTATTGCAGATCTCTTTCTTTTGAGCTGTGTGGCTAGTTTCTCATTCCCAATATCTATCTGTCACTTCATAACCCCAGTGATTTTCTTTAGATTCCTTCAGCACCCTGCAGGACATTTTGTACTCTACCAGCATCTCAGATACAGCACTGGGTCACAGCTGCACTGCAACTTGTTTCAATTTTTGATAGGATTACTTTTCTTCATCCAGTTTCTTTATCCTTTGGAAAACATAATTGTAACCCTGGAAATACAATAGCCTAATTATCATAAGGCTATTGGCTAATATGAAAATTATATTAGGCATGTAGGATGTTTTAGGCTGTATGGCAAATAGTCAAGTGCGTTGAGGGTGGCTGAGCACTGGAACTCCACAGGGAAGGGGTCACAGAACCAAACCTGACAAAGTACTAGAAGTGTTTGGACAATGCTCTCAGGCACGTGCTGGGATTCTTGGGGTTGTCTTGTGCGGGGCCAGGACTTAGACTTCAATGATCCATGTGGATATTCTATGATTTCAATTAAAAATTTGTAGTATGACATTACACTTTCTTTCCAGAGGATATATTCTCACAGTTGAAACTGACTGCAGATAAAGCATCATATAAGGATACCAGAAACCTCAAACAGCAAAAATAGAGCTACTTTGAATCACTGACAGTGAATGCTACAGCAAAGCTTAGGAAATTTTTCTTAAGAATTTCAGAAAGTTTTGAAAGGGGAAAAAACTGAAAAAAGTATTATTTTCATCAGCTGACATGCAAAAGACATTTTGCCAGGTGAATTTTAAGCATGTGTATAAAGAAAATTTTTGCTCAATTTTGGCTCCAGTATTTCCTCAAGTATTCATGTAAATTTTTACTTTGTAGTCCAAAATTTATTAAAAATACAGACTCATGCAAGCCATTATTAGACATCAGAAAAACAGGAGGTTTTGCTCTTCAATAAAACCAGTGACAATTTCAATTAGATTTCTCAGGCTTTTCTTCACAGAGTCATGGTGTTGAAGTAAAAAAATAAAAGATTGAATACTTTATTGGATTCATCTACCAGATAGCTTTCAGTGTGTTAAAATAGATTTTTAAAGTGCAGAAAATAGAGAAAACCGGATGAGAAAATGATGAAATTTTCTCTGTTATTGATATTGTAAACCCATAGATTTGCCACATGTTCAGTATAGCTTGGTTTAAAGTGTGAGATACTTTTCCTGTGTGTACGACTGATCAATTTATCATTGACCAAAAAAAAGCAAGTGCTTTTGACCCAATATAGTAAGCAAAATGTTATCACTCATATTTAAATTATTAGGTGACATTTCAATGTAAGAATGTTTTCACACAGATTCCATTGTGAAGAACTTGGTTTCTTCATATCTTGAAGGGAATGTTCTTAAAAGCAGGTTGATGATTTACTTCAGTCAGTAATTATTGTCATTTCCTAGTGACCTTCAGTAAGAGCATCACTAGTGGCAGGTGACAATTCTTAGTAGTGAAAAAACACACAGGTCCTAAAGTTCCTTATCAAATAAATTAATGTTTTGTTACTGTAAAGGCCTGCTTGTTCCCATCAGAAAAATTTTTGACCTCTGAAAACAGATAAGAACTCTGAAGTTGGAGAAATCACTGCTGAGATGGAGCAGGTGCTGCACTGTCTGATCTCCGCTGGTTTTCACACTGTTTCCCTGGAAGTCCAGGTTGGCCACAGAGGTGAGGAACACCCAAGAATTTTACTTATTTCTTTGTCTTCTCCAACTATATTCAAGTGAGGAAACATCTTTATGGCAGGCATTATAATAGTGTTAATGGAGATAAATTGAATTCCCTAGTAACCAGCTTCTTCTTCATTCTGTGCACAGCTTATTGCAGGACTCCAGTTTACAGTGGGATGCAAAAATGCACACTGAGTATGTGCAGTACCCAAGGGCTAAAAAACAGCCCTCTGCAAAACATATCTGCACCTCTCTGCAAAACTATGAGTGCATGCAACAACCACTAAGAATGGGGACATTTATGCTAACTTCTAAAAGATTCTCTAATATTTTGTCCTTCATTTTTAAGCCATTAAATAGAAAAACTATTTGAGATGGAAGTTCTTATTAACATTTTGTACTTATACGCCTCTTTTTTTACCATCTTGTGTTGTCTTTGGTATAGAATTTTTTTTTCAATTTTTACAGTTTCTGTGGTCAAAAAATACACTATCTTCAGAGCAGTGTGAGAAAAAACAAAATGGTAAGACACTGATGAAAGAGGTTCATGCCTGTAATTTATAAAAG